GTAGTTTAATAAAATTTTGAATGTAAGACACTAAAATTTTGTGTCATGTACAGTAAAGTGCACCCGGGCCGATGGGGTTAATAAAGATGCATATATATCAGGGCTAGATTTTAACGGTTATCCAAGATGACTCAAAACTTCTTTGGACGAACAATTTAAACCCCTGTGTTGTCTAATAGACAACAAATACCCTGGAAATAATGCTGTTTTAATCAATAAAATTTCTATCATGGACAAGCTGCATGTAAATTTAGTATGGAAGACAACTGAGTGTGTGAATGTCTGTGTGTGGTAACACAGTACAGTGTATACAGCTCAGTTAGTTACATTACCATACTTCTTTTTTTTTTTACAAGCTACACCTTTTACAATAAGTAAAAATTATTTTTAAAACAAGCATAATGTTTTGATCACCGGTGTGATCATTCTCTAGTACACAATTTTAATGGTAAAAAACGTTTAGTATTTGAATCAACATTTAACCAAAGTAAAAAATTGTAATATATATATATACTTAATCAGTAAGTAAACTTAAAACGAAACGTTGTGTTGTCTGATGTTTGTATGTATATAATGGGCGGGCAGGAATTCGCAACGAACAAATGCCAAAAAGACGAATATTTAGTGAGATTGATTTCTAGTATAAATTATTACGACAATAAAACTAACATGGTTATCTGAACTTCTTATCTTTAAACCTTCAGTAGGAACTAAAACGATCAAATTTACTCAGAATTATCATCATTGATTAACACAGTTGAAACACTGACAAGGATAGCTGTGCCTCTCTTCATGTCAATACAAAGTACGAGTATGAACAAGAATACATATCGGTGGTGTGTGTGTTCATATGCAGCGCTCCGACATTGTGTACGTATTACGATATAGCGGTATGTGTGAGAGTTCCGATGCAAGTCTAGTTTTACTACAAACTGTAATTTATGGGCAGGCCAAGATTGCTGTTCAGTTTAAAAGTTTACAGATTATTGACTGTTTATTCCTTTAAGATACTATATCACATTAGTATGGTTTGGGTTTATTTTTACTAATGTAATGAAACTTCCCGAAATATAAGGCATCAAAAATTAGTCGAATATAGATGCAAAATTCTTGTAATTGGGTCTTTGTACACCAATGTTGTTGTAACTAGGTCTTTTTTTTTCTTTTTTCTTTTTTGAGGTTTTTTAACAACCAGTACAGTCTCCTGGACAACCTCTGATACAGGTCAGGTTGCCCATTGGACAACCTGGAAATTTCCTTAAAATCAAGCCCTGTATATTTTTGACGATTGAAATATTAGTCAGTTTACACCACACAGTGTGCATGACTGTTTTACACTAGTTTTGATATTTACACAATGCACAATCTCGTAACAAATTACAGAAATCAAGGAAAGTGTGAGAAAAGTTGTTAATGCAATGATTTTTCCACCAATATATCTGTGACCCAAGACTTGACTTTTCAAAATGACTTCAGGTCAGGGGAAGTAAAAAAAAATTTTGCTACCAATATTCTTGGTCAAAATTATTTTATATCAATATGGTTTTCTAATTCATATCGTACGACACATGGGAGAACAAGGTTTCCATTTTACTTTGTCTGCTGGACAAGTAGTTTTTATTTGAATTTTTATTTATTTCGTTGTAATAAAAATGATATGACTGTATCATCCTGCTATATAACTAAAACCACATTACAGCAGCACCAGCAAGCATTAATCCATAAGATACCAAATATATTGTAGTGACAACAACTTGAGAGAAGCTCAGAAGTTTGATATTGTTTACTCTATTTTGTTTGCTGGTCAGGTGGATGTATGTTTGTATGTGACAGGTTGCAGAGAGTGTTTTGTTGAAGTTAATAAAAAGAATTAAAACAGTAATTTTTTATTACTAGTGTCATGAAGGATCATTGTTACAATATCTTTTGTTTGGTTAATTACCCTATAAGGTAATGCTGCATTAATATGAACAGTACAAAAGTTGACAAATACTGTATTGATAATGTAATGTCTACATTCATTCCAACACATCAAGTTACATAGTTTCTATAAGCAAAATCAGAGCAAACAATCTGAAGGAATGCTTTCTTGAATGAATTTAATCACTTCTGTGTTGAGTCTATCAAAACATACACAACCAGAAAGCTCATATGGCAAGTGTGTCATGGTATAATCAGAAGAATACAAAATCAGATAGTGCTGCTGTGGAGATGGTGAGTTTTTCCAGTTTATACAACTCAGTCTGGGGGCATTTTACAAACAATGAGATAAAAAAAAGAAGCTATTAACATTGTTGTTTAACAATTTGGAGGGGGGTGGGATAAAAAGTGAAGTTGGGACTTTGAAGGTGAAGTTTAAAGGCACCTTGCCTACTCATGTGACCCTTTGTACTATAGAAGGTAGTTTTTTGGCAAATATAAACCCATGATTTGGAATGGGTAGAAGAAATCCTTGGAGTTGTGCAAAAATATAATTTTGAGCATTTCTTTTTACTTTGGAATTTGTGCTAAATTAATGTTACAAATGACTAAATATAGATTCTCAAATATTTTTTCTATAAAAAATTGTGAGATTATCTCTAAATTATTATTATTATTATTTAAATTTTATATATGCAGGTGTGCATTCAACACTTGAAAGGTGCTCCCCAGTTTGGAAAAGATTAATGTGGAAAATTTAGTTTACTTGTTCAAGTGACAATACATTTTATAAAAATATTTTCATGCTGATAATTTTAGAACTGTGATAGTTATTTGTCACAGCTGCAGTTTGTTCAGTGTGTTCTTAATTTTCCAGAAAGGGAGCTGAAGGCTGCCTGGAAGGGTCACCTGTTTTAACCATTTGCACTATTGTACTGTTGTTTTGTCAATCAGTCAGTAAACACTAAAATGATGTCACATAAGAGACACTTAATGTTGCAATTTATACTGTTGTTACTTGCGCCTGCCATGACTCACAAGAAGAACTATGCACTCTGTAGACTACAACACAGCATGACGTATGAACTTCAAAAGCAATAAATAAAATTGTTTGTTACTCTTGAGACAGAATGCTTTTAGGGACCATGTGTACATCTAGTGTACTTATGTATATTGCATAATTTTGAAAGCAACATATAATATAGTGTAGTATAATATTAAACACAATTATGGTAAAGTGCATAAAAATTGAGAATAAAATATACATTTTTTTATGTTAATATTAAGTTTTGATATTCAGAATATTGTTATGTTACTATTAAATAAACCATTTGTTTTGTTTTAATCTTGTTTATGTACAGGCATCAGAAGTAATGTGCCTAGCTAAAAGATAGTAGGGAAAACACTTGATTGGATTTTGCACACTGCCATAATGGAAAAATAATTCTTAGGTGGTAGGAAAATTAGTTAGATAGAAAGAAGTACTTCATCCAAACACTATGGTAAGGTGTAAATAAGACACTGAGGTGTAAAATATATATAGATATGATAATTTCTTCTGTAAATTGTTCTAAAACATAAGGATGACTAGATCTGAAACCTTGTACGTGTGAATATTTAATTAGGTCTAAGGTGGTATGATTCTTTGTAGGAATGTAATCATTTTCATAAGAATGTTATATTCTGAAAGGAAATGTTAATTTCTGATCCATTTTGCAGGAACTTATTTAAAAACATTTTATTTAACTACATAAAATATAACATTTCTTCTATGTACTGTGGTTTCATTATTTTGAAAATAAGTAACAGTAGACTAAAGCTATTTCTGTTCATCGTGATTAGTATTATATAGTCAACATTTTTTATTTTATCTAATCTTTGGAAACATAGGGAAGTTGGCATATGCAGACTTGGACGAACGTGCATTAGATGCCCTAAAGGAGTTTCCCACTGATGGTGCATTAAATGTGCTGAAACAATTCCTCGATAGCAGCCTAGAACATGTTTCCAATAAAAGTGCTTTCTTATGTGGAATAATGAAAATGTACAGACAGAAGAGTAAATTGGGTGGATCATCATCAACAGCTACAACAAAGGGTCCAGATGAAGATAAAATTAAAGTGAGTAAAGTATAGAGCCTGTAGGTACAATATGTATGCTTTAAATGTAACTATATTTGAAGGTGTGATTATACTAAGCTTTATTTATTTTCATTTTTTCCATTTGAATTTAAAATTTTGGCATTTTGAACTGTTTAGAAGTATTCATGAATAGTTTTTTATGTCATCTTAATTAAGTAAATATTTGGCATTGGTGATGCCATGTGCATTTTATGGGCAAGTAGTAAATTTGCTAATTTATTAATCAGTAGGATAATTTAACAATGACATTCAATTCATCATTTATTCTCACATCAGACTAATATTCCTTTTTTCCAGTTATTTTGGGTTTTGTTAATGACCATTTGCTTAGTATGATAAACATCTTCTGGTACAACAATTTAGTATTAAGTTACTTTTTTAATCCCAAACTATTTACATTAAATTTTTGGATTCCACCCTGCCCAAAACCAGCAAAGTAACAAAATTACTAGGCTGTAACTTTTTATAATACACACATATTTTCATGAAATTTTGCAGATTATCAGTAAACATTACAAAGCTTTCATACACAAAATATCAGATTTTTAAATTAATGATTTGCTTGTGTTTCCTTTTTAAATGTTGATTATCCAACACACAAAGTAATTTTGATTTTAAGATTATAAATACTTTTGGGCATCAGAAAAATTGTCAAATTTCACATGCAAAATCTTTATAATGTCCAGATAATTATCAAGTATTTCTTAGAATGACTACAAATTATAACACAAAATCACATGTTTAGTCTAAGTATCTTAAACCTCATACCACTATACTTCTCTCTCTTGTGTGTGTGTGTTATTTTATTGACCTTTCAGTCATGTCTGACTAACATTACAGAAGTTGCAATGATGTGGCACGTGTGCACTAATGTTACCATATCCAGTAGTATAAAACTAGCCTTTACATAGTGATCTGTCTTGGCTTTGATTTAGTGGACCAGTATTTTGTAAAATACGGTCACATTTTGGTTATAATACATTACATATGCATATATATTATTACTATTTACAAAGAAGTTCTTAAATTTCAGTTAATTTTCTTAAAACATGGAACATTAAAAAAATATAGAAAACAATGATTTCTACTTTTTATGATTGTAAAGAAGTTTGTACTTGCTTGCCATATGTTGCATGCTAAGCCATGCCAAATTTCACATGTGGAGGATTCAAAACAAAATTACTTTTTTAGGTTTTATATATGCATTTTGAAATAATAAAACATTATAAGTTACTCTTTCTATATCTCAGAATTCCACTGTAATTTACCAGGCTTACTAACTAAACAGAATTTGGGTATAAAAAAATACTGATTTCCCAATGACATTTTCACTTACTCCTTCCTTTCAAGAAATGAGACAAAAGAAATAATCTTAGGAAATTCCCTCCTTAAAGATGCTGAGAAAACCATGTGGGGGAAATTCTGAGATTTTGATTGGTTATAAACACATTATAGCACAAAGCAGGTGTACATAAGGGATTCCAAAAATGGAAGAGATGTGTGGGGCTACTGTGTTTGATTCCCTAAATATTGTGGTATTTCAAGAAATAAAAAAGAAAGCAGGTTCTTATTTTATATTCTAGCTTGTCAATATCAGTAATTGAATTCGATGAC